CAAAATATGGGAAACATGTCTGTATGAACATATGAGTTTTACTTCTAGTGTGAAGTAGAAGAAAGCAGAAAATGGACCAAATCAGACAATCTGTGATTTATTATTCCACATCTGAAAACAGAAGATCAGAAATCATTTCAACTTTTCACTCTCGGCATGTGGGTAGGACTAACACACCACTATTACATCTCTGACGCATTGCCACAGTACCAGTAGATAATCCTCTGGTACACCTGAACTCTATTATTTCATCATGAACTAAATACTTAGTGCCACTTGATTTCAAGGTGATGTTATGCTGTCTCATTTCATCTTCATTCACAATGCAAGGCCCTGCAAGAGACAAAGATATAAGAATATTATGATAAAGATGTAAAAGAATATTATGATAAAGATGTAAAAGAATATTATGATAAAATTATTCTTAAGATTGGGGAGAACTGTAACTTACTGAGGCATCTCATGTGTCCAGTCCATTCACCATAGAGGCAGGTTTTGTAAGGCTCTCCCTCCATAATGTAGTAACTCTGACACATATATTCAATAGTTTCATTATGGCTGTAATGCTCTTTTATGGCGGTCTTGGTGTCTCCATCCTCAAGAGCTGGAGGTATCCCACAGGGTGGAATTTCTGAAAATAAGTGAAGAGCCAAGATTGACAAAAAGATGATCATGCAACTGTGATACTACATTACCTTGGTATGCTGGTTAATTTTTCTTCACCATTCATTAATTTACTTTAAGACTGTTTCCTTATTCAAAATCTAGAAACTCACACTGTATTTCTGCACTTGCTGGGCAGTAAAGCATACTATCTGTTACTGTTCTGTCCTGCCACAAAACACTATGCGGGTAAGATAAGGTAAGTTTGCATGCAACAAGATGCAACTGAAAGATGTGGTAGTACATGTCACTTGCAAACTGTAATTGTAGTAAAATAATATCTAATGAGTATTTGTACACTACTTTGGTTAGTGCTTGGCTAGTACACAAATACACAAAAAATGCAAATGAATGTTATTGCTATTTTCTCTCACTACGAACTATCACAGAGTCTCTAATTTTTATATAGCTGGCTCCCACTTTCTTACTGTATGAATGAAGGATTTTATTGGGAGGAGCCTTTGAAGCTTCTGTTTGACCAAAGATACCTTTCAATTCAAGAAAGATTATTTTCTGTCCTGTTTTCTCAAATATGGAAATTAAAGAGATCATATCTGAAGTAGAAGAAAAGTGAACTAAACTTCACCATACCTTGACAAAGTGGATTCGGTTCCCATCCATCTCTGGTGCATGTGGCCCATGTGACGCCATCTTTCCTCTTGTATCCTGATATACATGCGTACCTGACAGTATCATCCAATTTCTTTATCTCCCAACGCC